TGCCTGCAGGTCTTGAACATGTACTCATTGGGGTGGAGGATAGTGAGGTACATGATAATATGTTCCTGGAAGGTACTGGAGGGCTTGGTCCCAAATCTGCACACTGCCATTACAACATACTGGAGTGAGAGATATGGGAGGAAGTGTAAAATAAACCCTGTGAGGAGCAGGGGTGCGGTGGGGACAATAAGGAAACACTGTATCAACATCCAGGGTCCCAGACTTTTCAACATCTTACCAGAAGATATCAGAAACACTGCTGGAACAAGTGTTGAAGTCTTCAAGAGGAAACTAGACAAGTATCTTCACCAGGTGCCAAATCAACCAGGCTGTGATGGATATGTGGGGCAGCAGGCCTCTAGCAGCAACAGCCTTGTTGACCAGGAAAGCACCAGATGTGGCTGACCCATGGCCGGGCTCAGAGAGTAGATATACTCTCGAGATTCTTCAAAGGTATATCAAAGGTACCCTGAAGGTAATCACTGAGGAGACATAGCATAGAGCCTGCAATTCCCAGAGCTTGCAGTTTTGCTAAGAGGCCCTGGTGCCACACCCGGTCGAAAGCACCAGCAATGTCCAGTGCTACCACACAGCTGACTTTGGATTTATCCAGTGACTGGTGCCACTTAGTAGAGAGGTTTAACAACAGATCAGCAGCAGAGTAACCTTTCCTGAAGCCATATTGACGGTCACAAAGTAGTGAGTGGCAGTCAAAAAACTCTGTCATTTGTCTTGAGATTATTGTCTCAAGGATCTTACCAATGATTGACAGGAGTGACACTGGTCTGTAGTTGCTGATTTCTGCTCTGCTCTTCTTTTTGTGAACAGGGACTACATTTGCCTCTTTCCACAGAGAGGGCCATTTACACTGTATTAGGCAGTGATGGTACCTGGTAAAGTGTATGGTAGAGTTGTTATTGAAAGAATTAAGAGTAAGACGGAGAATAGGATAGCAGATGAACAAGGAGGCTTTAGGAAAGGTAGGGGGTGTGTGGACCAGGTGTTTACAGTGAAACATATAAGTGAACAGTATTTAGTTAAGGCTAAAGAGATTTTTCTGGCATTTATGGATTTGGAAAAGGCATATGACAGGGTGGATAGGGGGGAAATGTGGCAGATGTTGCAGATGTATGGTGTAGGAGGTAGGTTACTGAAAGCAGTGAAGAGTTTTTACGAGGATAGTGAGGCTCAAGTTAGAGTATGTAGGAAAGAGGGAGATTATTTCCCAGTAAAGGTAGGCCTTAGACAGGGATGTGTGATGTCACCATTGTTGTTTAATATATTTATAGATGGGGTTGTAAGATAAGTAAATGCGAGGGTCTTGGCAAGAGGTGTGGAGTTAAAAGATAAAGAATCACACATAAAGTGGGAGTTGTCACAGTTGCTCTTTGCTGATGACACTGTGCTCTTGGGAGATTCTGAAGAAAAGTTGCAGAGGTTGGTGGATGAATTTGGTAGGGTATGTAAAGAAGAAAATTAAAAGTGAATACAGGAAAGAGTAAGGTTATGAGGATAACAAAAAGTTAGGTGATGAAAGATTGGATATCAGATCGGAGGGAGAGAGTATGGAGGAGGTGGATGTATTCAGATATTTGGGAGTGGACGTGTCAGCGGATGCGTCTATGAAAGATGAGGTGAATCATAGAATTGATGAGGGGAAAAGGATGAGCGGTGCACTTAGGAGTCTGTGGAGACAAAGAACTTTGTCCTTGGAGGCAAGGAGGGGAATGTATGAGAGTATAGTTTTAACAACGCTCTTATATGGGTGTGAAGCATGGGTGATGAATGTTGCAGCGAGGAGAAGGCTGGAGGCAGTGGAGATGTCATGTCTGAGGGCAATGTGTGGTGTGAATATAATGCAGAGAATTCATAGTTTGGAAGTTAGGAGGAGGTGCGGGATTGCCAAAACTGTTGTCCAGAGGACTGAGGAAGGGTTGTTGAGGTGGTTTGGACATGTAGAGAGAATGGAACGAAACAGAATGACTTCAAGAGTGTATCAGTCTGTAGTGGAATGAAGGCAGGGTAGGGGTCGGCCTAGGAAAGGTTGGAGGGAGGGGGTCAAGGAGGTTTTGTATGCGAGGGGCTTGGACTTCCAGCGGGCATGCGTGAGCGTGTTTGATAGGAGTGAATGGAGACAAATGATTTTTAATACTTGACGTGCTGTTGGAGTGTGAGCAAAGTAACATTTATGAAAGGATTCAGGGAAACCGGCAGGCCGGACTTGAGTCCTGGAGATGGGAAGTACAGTGCCTGCACTCTGAAGGAGGGGTGTTAATGTTGCAGTTTAAAAACTGTAGTGTAAAGCACCCTTCTGGCAAGACAGTGATGGAGTGAATGATGGTGAAAGATTTTCTTTTTCGGGCCACCCTGCCTTGGTGGGAATCGGCCAGTGTGTTAATAAAAAAATTTAATAAAATAATATAACACTTATGTGAGTTTTCTTTGATTATTATCTTAATAGTTCTTCTTCTTAGTGCTTTTCCTTTCATATCCATGGGGAAATGGAATAAGAATCTTTCCTCTGTAAGCCATGCATGATGTAAAAGTCAGTTAAAATGCCGGGAACAATGGGCTAGTAACTCCTTTTCCCGTATAGCCTACTAAAAAGAAAAAGAAGAAAGCTGTGATTACTTCCCAGTAAAAGTAGGTCTTAGGGATGTGTAATGTCTCCATGATTGTTTAATATATTTATAGATGGGGTGTAAAAGAAGTAAATGGTAGGATGTTGGGGAGAGGGATGGGATTAAATTATGGGGAATCAAATACAAAATGGGAGTTGATGCAGTTACATTTTGCTAAGGTTAGTGGATGAGTGTGGGAGGGTGTGTAAAGGTAGAAAGTTAAAAGGGAGCATAGATAAGAGTAAGGTGATGAGGGTATCAAATGATTTAGAAAAAGAAAAATTTGATATCACATTGGAGAGAGGGAGTATGGAAGAAGTGAATGTTTTCAGTTATTTGGGAGTTGACTTGTCAGTGGATGAGTTTATGAAGGATGAGGTTAACCATAGAATTGATGAAGGAAAAAAGGTGAGTGGTGTGTTGAGGTATCTGTGGAAACAAAAAATGTTATCCATGGATGCAAAGAAGGGAATGAATGAAATACAGTGGACCCTCGACCATCGATATTAATCCGTTCCTGAGAGCTCATCGTTAGTTGAAATTATCGTTAGTCGAGTTAATTTTCCCCATAAGAAATAATGGAAATCAAATTAACCCGTTCCTGACACCCCAAAGTATTGAAAAAAAAAAATTTACCACATGAAATATTAATTTTAATGCACACAAACTGAAGAAGACATGTACAATTACATGACACTTACCTGTATTGAAGATCTTGTGATGATTGATGGGATGGGAGGAGGGGAGAGTGTGTATGGTGTTAGTGTTCAGAAGGGGATTCCCCTTCCATTAGGACTTGAGGTGTCAAGTTCTTTTTTGGGGTTACTTCCCTTCTTCTTTTAATGCAACTAGGACCAGCTTGAGAGTCACTGGACCTCTGTCACACAACATATCTGTCCATAGAGCTCTGTACCTCCCGTTCCTTTAAGATTTGTCTAAAATGGGCCACAACATTGTCATTGTAATAGTCACCAGCACGGCTTGCAATAGCTGTGTTAGGATGATTTTCATCCATAAAGGTTTGCAGTTCAACCCACTTTGTACACATTTCCTTAATCTTTGAAGTAGGCACAATGGATTCCACAACTGGCATAGGCGTCTCAGGGTTAGCCCCAAACCCTTCAAAACCTTTCTTAATTTCCATACTAATTCTCACCCATTTTATCACAGGGTTGGCACTAGAAACTTTCTTGGGGCCCGTGGTGACTTATTTTGCAGGTGCATTCACTAAAAACGCTGTGATAATATGAAATGTTCCGATTGTATGTTTGGATGCGACCGCGGTGGCTGGCTTGTAAACTGGCACCCACGGGACAAGTGAGGCACACTTAGCATTGGTCGAGTTTTTTAGCGCTAGTCGAGGCAAAATTTTTGCGTTAAAATGTATCGCTAGTCGGATTTAACGTTATATGCCATCGTTGGTCGAGGGTCCACTGTATAGTGATACCAACACTTTTATATGGGTGTGAAGCTTGGGTTGCAAATGCTGCAGCGAGGAGGTGGCTGGAGGCAGTGGAGATGTCCTGTCTCAGGGCAGTGTGTGGTGTAAATATTATGCAGAGAATTCAAATTGTGGAAATTAGGAGGAGTTGTCAAGTTACTAAAAGTATTATTCAGAGGGCTGAAGAGGGGTTGTTGTGGTGGTTTGGTCATTTAGAGAGAATGGATTAAAGTAGAATGACTTGGAGAGCATATAAATCTGTAGGGGAAGGAAGGCGGGGTATGGGTTGTCCTCGAAAAGGTTGGAGGGAGGAGGTAAAGGAGGTTTTGTGGGTGAGGGGCTTGGATTTCCAGCAAGCATATGTGAGTATATTGGATAGGAGTGAATTAAGACAAATGGTTTTTGGGACCTGGTGAGCTGTTGGAGTGTGAGCAGAGTAATATTTTGTGAAGGGATTCAGGGAAACTGGTTAGCCAGGCTTGAGTCCTGGAAATGGGAAGTACAATGCCTGCACTTTAAAAAGAAGGGTGTGGGATATTGGCAGTTTGGAAGGGCTTCTGAACTGTCAGAACTGATCACCTCTGCAAATACAGTGATTATGTATGAGTGAGGTGAAAGTGTTGAATGATGATGAAAGTATTTTCTTTTTGGGGAGTTTCTTTTTGGGTCACCCTGCCTCGGTGGGAGACGACCAACATGTTAAAGAAGAAAAAATTAAAATAAACCCAGTGTAGTTAGGTAGGTCACTTTCCCTTTCTTACCAATCTCTTCCTGTCTACCACAATTTTTTTGTTGTTATTAAAATCTTACCCAGACCTTTCCCTCTTTATTCTTGCCATTCCTATCGCTGAACAAAAGCAAAAAAAAAAAAAAATTGCATGTAGTTATATTAAGTAAATGAAAATGTATTAATGAGTTCTTTTGTACTTTATTTACAGATTCTACAATCACTGGGGATATTAGTGACATGTTAATGAAAGTTACCGGCGTATTACAAACTAAGCCACAGTCTAAAAGTCGGACAAGCGTAACCTTGCGCTCGGAGCAGTATTCAGTTATCAAGATTCCTCCAAAGGATCCGGACATGCCAGCATTTGATATTATGGTTGTGTGTGATCCAGTGTCCACTGCTGCTCAGAAGATAGGACCAATTCTTCTAGTGATTCAAGAAGTGGTTAATGCCAACATTCGTGTAGTACTAAATGCCATTGAAAAGCATTCAGAAATGCCACTGACAAGGTGAGTTAAATATTTGATGTTATTGCAAGATGAAGCTTATCAGCAGCATCCTTCATGGGGATTCATTGCTGCTGATGATGCACACCTCATCCAAGAAATTTGAACTATGCTTTTCCTTGGATCTTGATTACTGAACCTATGATTCCTCAGCAGCGCTGTATAGCCCTTGAGGTTTAGCACTTCTTTTTTATTATAATAATAATATGATTCCTCAAGTAGTAGGTAGTAGGTTGCAGGTTGCTAGTCAGCGACCATCTTGGGGCTTAACACTATTTAATCATATGAGTGTGAAACAGAAGCTTGTGAAATATATTCCACTCTGCTAGAACTGCTGGTCTTCTCTTTCTGTTTCCTGAACATGTAAAATGGCAAGTACAGTGGACCCCCGCATAGCGACCTTAATCCGTGCAAGAGGGCTGGTTGTTATGCGAAATGTTCGGTATGCGAATGAATTTTCCCCATAAGAAATAATGGAAATCAAATTAATCCGTGCAAGACACCCAAAAGTATGAAAAAAAAATTTTTACCACATGAAATATACAATTTCCTACACACAAAGAGAAGGATACATGCACAATAGTAGAGTAGTACATGCACAGTATATATTGTGCATGTACTAGTGTACTAAATGAAGAATAAATGATACTTACCTTTATTGAAGATGCAGCAATGACTGATGAGACAGTGTGTCCTGGGAGTGCCTTTTCCTCCTGAGTACTGTAGATCCTGTTTGGCATTTTCTTCCAGAACAGGCCTTATCACACTGTGTATGCCACTATGATTCTTAAATCTCTCAAACCAACCTTTGCTGGCTTTAAATTCACCAATATGAGCACTAGTTCCAGGCGTTTTTCCCTGTTCACCTGGGTGTTAGTCGACTGGTGTGGGTTGCATCCTGGGAGACAAGATTAAGGACCCCAATGGAAATAAGTTAGACAGTCTTCGATGACACTGACTTTTTTGGGTTATCCTGGGTGGCAAATCCTCTGGGGTTAATTGTTTCTTGGTATTCTCAATAAGCCACACCAACAACGGTGCTACAGCAGCAGCAGCAGCTGACGGTGGTACAGCAGCAACAGACGATGCTACAGCAGCAACAGACGATGCTACAGCAGCAGCAGACGATGCTACAGCAGCAACAGACGATGCTACAGCAGCAGCAGACGATGCTACAGCAGCAGCAGACGATGCTACAGCAGCAGCAGACGATGCTACAGGAGCAGCAGACGATGCTACAGCAGCAACAGACGATGCTACAGCAGCAACAGACGATGCTACAGCAGCAGCAGACGATGCTACAGCAGCAGCAGACGATGCTACAGCAGCAGCAGACGATGCTACAGCAGCAGCAGACGATGCTACAGCAGCAGCAGACGGTACTACAGCAGCAGCAGCAGCTGACAGTGCAGCAGCAGCTGACAGTGCAGCAGCAGCTGATGGTGGTACAGCAGCAGCAGCTGACAGTGCAGCAGCAGCTGGCAGTGCAGCAGCAGCTGACAGTGCAGCAGCAGCTGACGGTGGTACAGCAGCAGCTGTACCACCAATAGTAGCGATGGTTGATTGGGGTTTATTATACAACCTGGCCAGCTCGGAGACACGCACTCCACTTTCATACTTATCAATGATCTTTTTCTTCATCTCTATAGTAATTCTCACCCTTATTGCTGTAGGGTTGGCACTAGAAGCTTTCTTGGGGCCCATGGTCACTTATTTTCCAGAAAAAATCACCAAAAACACTGTAATAATACGAAATGTTCCGATTGTATGCTTGGATGTTACCGCGGAGGCTGGCTGGTAAACAATGCCACCGGCGGAACATGTGAGCGTGGCTCAGGCCGCACATTGGATGCGTCTCGGACGAAGGGCGGTGAGCGGGTTTTTGTGTGGTATGCGAGGCAAAATTTTTGCGATCAAAGTGTCCGGTATGCGATGCGTACGGTATGCGGGGGTCCACTGTATATCTTAAATGTTTTCTTATATTCATTATTCAGATAGATAATATTACTGTCCTGTGTTTCTTTTCAATTTTGGTTGCCTGGTCTGAGACCAGATGGAGGCAGTGATCCCCAGAACTATAAAGGGATAACATTTAAGAACTAAGTACTTGCGGGTTTAGTCATCACATCAGTGAAGAAAGTCTGGCAGTGGTGGCAGTTATACAGCCCTCAGACCATCCCTGAGAGTTGATCAAGATGATCAGCTCTCAGGGATGGTCTGATGGCTGTATGAACTTTGTAGTTGATGATTTAAGGGTATTTGATAGCTTTGAAGATTGCTTGAACTTAGAACAGTATTGTAGTCAATGAGTTTCTGGTTACAGCAGGCCCAGGGGCCATTATGGTTTTTAATATGGATATAGGTTATAAACAATTCCTTACAAGCTGAAACACCTGGGACACGACTGGGTCATTTCTTTGAGACCCTTTTAACTTGTGTCTTTTTAGTTACTGACCTTACTACCATGCTTGATATGGCAAATGAACCACTTAAAAATATCCTTATTTGAATGATAATCAACATACTCTTTCAGTTTAAAGAAGACACACTACAGTGCATAATTTTTTAACTCTTAACCAAATTTGGCCAGAGCCATGACATCCCTGTGTTAGTGAATTTTTAAAAAGAATAGATTATTTTTCTAACAACATCTAAGAGCATTTAACCCTTTGGGGGTTGGCAGGTCCTCTCAGAGACTTGTTCTCAGGGTCGGCCAAATTTAAAAAAAAAAAAATTATGTTTTTCTTATGAAAAGATAGAGAATCTTTTCCCGATCATAATGACACCAAAAGTATGAAATTTGATGGAAAACTTACGGAATTATGCTCTCGCGAAGTTAGCGGTCTCAACGATGTTTACGCATCGGGTATTTTGCCCACTTTGAGCCCTATTTTCGGCCAATTCCAGTGTACTAGTCGACAAAAATCATAACTGTTTCGCTAGAACTCCATTTTTTTCTATCGAATGAGTACAAGAAACCATCCATTTACCGATTTCAACTATCCAATAAAGTGGTCAGAATTTAGCAATTTTGCCAATTTCACACAAATTTCAAAAGATGCCAATTTCCGAATAGGGTCCAGAATAAACAAGAAAGACATTCCTGGTACTAAAATAACAAGTTCTCTGTTCATTAGTCACATCCCCAGGCCCCCTCTTATATTTCTTTGGCTTTCCACTTTGAATTTTTAATCTCACAAAAAATAGAAGATTTACTGCTATGCAGACTACTGCATTAGTGTAGAAATGGTATAAATAATATCAGCGCACTTGTGAAAGAATATTAGCCTCACCAGTTGATGTGTATTGGACGCTTGGCATGATTTGTTTACTTTTGAACTTTGGTAAAAGTCGAACATTTCTGCTACTTTGAGCTCAATTTCAAGGTACTTTTCATTGTAAAACCAGTCAAAATCATCTCCATTTCTGTAATATGTCTTCCATTCTATAAAATGAGACCAAGAAAACTAGTATACAACAATAAATACCATACGAAAATACAGTGTAAAGCCGCTGTTTTAATCCAAAAACAAGGTCAAAGTTTTTTTTCTCATTACGCACTGTATGCCGCAGGACTTTTTTTTATACTGCGCACACTGACCACATACACCCATTCTTTCAATTGTAGGCCTACCAGCTTTCTTTCACTATATTTGAGGGCGCTAGAGTTTAGGCATACTAGTACGTGAAAAACCCTGGGTTGTAAGCCGTACTAGTACGTCCGAAACCCCCAAAAGGTTAAAATTGAATATTACTATGGAAAGACGCTTGAAGAATTTTCAAGTTTTCTTTAATACCTCGGCTGTCTTCCAGCAAGGTAGGGTGACCTAAAAAAGGAACACACTCACAGTTATTCATTCAGTCACTGTCTTGCCAAAAGCTCAGGCTCAGGAAACTTTCCAAGCTGCAAAGTCCCCATCCCTCCTTCATAGTGCAGGCACTCTACTTCATACCTCCAGGACTCATATCTGGCTAACCAGTTTTCTTGAATCTCTTTTTAAATATTTATTTACTTACACTTTAACAGCATGTCAAATCATAAAAATTAATTGACTTCATTCCTATCTAACATGCTCATATAGGCCTGCTGGATATCCAAGTTTCTAGCACTCAAAATCTCCCTTAACCCTTCTCTCCAACCCTTCCTGGGGTGGCCCCTACCCCTCCTACCCTCTACCCCAGATTTATGCACTCTCCTAGTCAGTGTTTTTATCTCCATCCTCTCTAAATGTTTATGCCTCCTCAACAACTCCTACTCTGTCCTCTGAATAATGCTTTTAGTAACTCCATACATTCTTCAAATCTCCAAGCTCCGAATTCTCTACATGATATTTACACCACACATTGCCCTCAAATGTGACATTTCCTCTGCTTCCAGCTTCCTCCTCCACTGCAATGTTGAAAGCCCATGCTCCATACCCATACAACAGTGTTTGTCACCATTGTACTCTGGTACATTACCTTTTTTTTGCCTCCATGGATATAGTTCTTTGTCTCCACAGATGCCTGATGCTCACCACCTTTTTTACCCTTAGTCTGTTCTGTGCTTCATCTCATCTGCTGACAAGTCCACTCCCAAATATCTAAACACATTTACTTCTTATATATTCCCTTCTTCCAATCTGTTATCCGATCTTTCATTGCCTAGTTGTTTTATTAGTTTTATTACCATGCTCTTTCCTGTGTTTACATTGAATTTTCTTCTTTAACTTTTTTTTAACACATCAGCTGTTTCCCACTGAGGCAGGGTGACCCAAACAGAAAGAAAAACCCCGAAAGAAAGAAAAAACTTTCATCATCATTCAACACTTTTACCATCACTCATATAATCACTGTCTTTGCAGAGACACTCAGATATGACAGTTTAGATGTCCTTCCAAACTGCCAGTATCCCAAACCCTTCCTTTAAAGTGCAGGCATTATCTAGAGCCTACCTGAAGGGTATTCCAGGGATCAACACCCCTGCAGCCCAGTCCATGACCAGGCCTTCGGGTGGATCAGGT